TGGCCTATTATGGAGAGAGAAGTCTAGAGATAGAATCGAAGGTGGCACTTGACAGAGACTTGCATCAACAAAATTTTGCATTTATAGGCCAGAAAGGGAACACTCGTGGGGGACGTACCTATGGTAGAGGTCGTCCATTTGAAAATCGAGGTCGTGGTTATGGATATCAAGGAAGAAGCCAGAATTATAAACCTTTTAATATGAGTCAAGATCAGGAGGTTCAACACTTTAGTCCACGGAATAATTTCTACGGTTCAAATCATGGTTTTCGACCTTATGCTAGTTCATCACAGAGGTATCAAGATACTAACTCCTATCCATCTCCCAACTTAGCAGTTCACAAGAACTTACAGGATGAGAAAGCTACTGATGGAGTTCGAGTAACTTGCCAAATCTGCAAACGTCCAGGGCATGATGCTCTTCGATGCTGGTATCGATTTGATAACTCCTATCAAGGTACATATATTCCACAAGCTCTAACAGCAATGCATATTGAGGATTCTACAGGCAATGAATGGTATCCTGACACTGGAGCCACAGCTCACATCACAGCCAATACTGGTATAATTCATAATTCCTCAAAGTACACTGGAACTGATTCTGTAATGATAGGAAATGGATAATGTCTTCCTATTACTCATACTGGTGATGCATTGTTACTTACTGCACTTGATGCATTACCTCTTAATGATGTGTTGGTTGTACCTGACATCAAGAAAAATCTTCTTTCAGTTTCAAAATTAACTGATGACTTTCCCTGCTCCTTTGTGTTTGATAAAAATGGTGTCTATGTTAAGGACAATCGAACCAACTCCACAGTGCAGCTCGGGCTGAAAATTGGGGGACTTTATCGAGTGGATCTGAAGACAACACAAGCTTTGTTTACACAAAGACATAAAGCTGTTGGAGAGGACATATGGCATCAACGACTTGCTCATACCAACACAAAGACCTTGAAATATCTTCAACAACAACAGTGGATCAGCTCTACTAAGAAAGCTTCTGTATGTAGAAGCTGTCCACTTGTCAAGAGTACCAATTTACCTTTTTCTTTATCTCATTCTGTAACTGAACTTCCTCTAGCAAGGATACATTGTGATATCTGGGGTCCTTCACCAGTAACCTCTGTTCAGGGCTTCAGGTTTTATGTCATTTTTGTGGACAACTTCTCTCGATACAGTTGGCTTTATCCAATGAAATACAAATCCGAGTTCTATAATATTTTCCTTTTGTTTCAGAAATATGTAGAAACTCAGTTTGACCACAAAATCAAAGTCTTCCAATGTGATGGTGGTGGTGAATTCACTAGTACCAGGTTTCAGACTCATTTAGAAACTTGTGGTATTAAACAATATATTTCCTGCCCGTATACTCCTGCACAAAATGGGATTCCGGAAAGGAAACATCGTCATGTGGTAGAATTGGGCCTCACTATGCTCTATCATGCTCAAACACCATTACATTACTGGGTTGATTCATTCTTAACTGCGAATTATGTTATTAATCTGCTTCCTACTCCAAAGCTGCAGATGGACTCACCTCACAGCAAACTTTTTAAACAAGTGCCCAACTATGATCATCTCAGGGTCTTTGGTTGTGCTTGTTATCCTTGTCTCAGACCCTATGCTCAACATAAATTTGACCCTCGATCTCTCACTTGTGTATTCCTGGGGTATAGTGAGAGACATAAAGGATATCGCTGTCTGGTACCTACTGATGGTAGAATATATATCAGTCGACATGTGACATTTGATGAAGATTTCTTTCCATTTGCCAAGCAATTATCTGCAGATTATCCTCACTATACATCTCTGTATCGAAAATGGGTTGATGAGGTAACTTTTCTGGGTTCTACCAGGGCAAATACAGTTAGACAAACTAATAATTGTCACACTGGTCATCTACAAGACAGTGGTGTTATGGAGGTAGGCCAAATTTGTATACCCTACAATTCTAATCATTACACAGATTTGTCTTCATCACATTCACCAGATGTTGTTGCTTCTGGACCATCAGATTCTTCTGATTTGCATAGTACATTACCTAGCCTACCTGTTGTTGATCAAGAACATCAGTCCTCCTCCCCTCCTCAACACTGTGATATCTCTGTTCATCCTATGCAAACTCGACTTAAGTCTGGCATAGTGAAACCAAATCCCAAATATGCCTGCTTAGCTGAGTACAATGTCCCTCCTGAACCCAAATCACTTAAGTCAGCCTTAGCTCATGAAGGCTGGACTCGTGCAATGCAAGAAGAAATGGCTGCCTTGTATGAAAATCAAACTTGGGTGTTAGTTCCTCGAACAGCTCAGATGAATGTCATAGGCTGTAAATGGGCGTATAAGACCAAGTTAACATCTGATGGCAGTCTTGACAGGTTAAAAGCTCGCTTGGTGGCTAAAGGATTTCATCAAGAAGAAGGACTAGACTATATTGAAACTTTCAGTCCTGTTGTAAAACAAGCTACCATACGTGTTGTCTTGTCAGTAGCTATGGTGCAGCATTGGCCTATTCATCAACTAGACGTCAAAAATGCATTTTTACATGGCACTTTGACTGAATCTGTCTATATGGAGCAGCCTCCTGGTTTTGTTGATCATACACTACCTCAACATGTCTGCTTACTTAAAAAGTCGTTATATGGACTTCGACAAGCTCCGCGTGCATGGTTTGAGAACTTCAGCAATTTTTTACTTGAATCGGGCTTCTTTTGCAGCACCACAGATCCCTCTCTCTTTGTGTACCATCGAGGTACGGACATAATTCTCTTGCTTCTTTATGTTGACGATATTGTACTGACTGGTAACTCCTCTCAGCTCCTTGCTGATTTAATCAAGTCTCTGAGTTTTACTTTTCACATGAAAGACCTGGGTTCTCTTCATTATTTTTTGGGTATTGAAGCCACACGTAGTTCTGCTGACCTCTTTCTCTGTCAGACTAAATATGCTCTTGACCTTCTTACACGAGCTCACATGCAAGATTGCAAGCCAATCTCCACTCCTCTATCTGTCAGGTCTATTCCTACGACCAATGATGTCATTCCTCTTGACAATCCCCTTGAATACAGAAGTCTGGTAGGAGGTCTTCAATATCTCACTATTACTAGGCCTGATCTTGCATATGCCACCAATCTTTTATGTCAGAAAATGTAGAGCCCTACCATTGCTGATTTTCTTAAACTGAAGCGAGTCCTTCGATATGTAAAGGGAACCATTCATCTGGGTATCTTTCTTCACTCGCATAGTACTTTAAACTTATATGGATTCTCAGATGCTGACTGGGCAGGATGTCTTGATACCAGACGCTCTACTACTGGTTTATGCACATTTCTTGGTTCCAATCTTATCTCCTGGACAGCCAAGAAACAACCTACTGTTTCTCGTTCCTCTACTGAAGCTGAGTATCGTGCACTTGCTTCTGCTACTGCTGACCTTACTTGGATCAGCTTTGTCCTGCGTGACATTGGCATTCCTTTAACATCACCTACGGTTCTTTTTTGTGATAATCAGTCTGCCATTTCACTTACTGCTAATCCTATCTTACATGCTAGAACTAAACATATCGAAGTTGATTTTCACTTTGTTAGAGAAAAAGTTGCCTTGGGATCATTACGTGTCCAGTATGTTCCTAGTCATCGCCAGCTTGCTGACATTTTCACCAAGGCATTATCAAGACTTGATCATTCCACTCTCAGAACCAAACTGGGCTTGGGGTTTAAATCTGCACCCAGTTTGCGGGGGGGGGATGTTGAGACTATAGGAAAGCCAGAAGGAGAAGTGGAAAGCTGAAGGAAAACTCAAGTCTTCTGTACGCATCAAATATGGATCAATACTCTGTGTAACTGAATTCTGTTCTTTAAACTAAGAGAAAAACAGAGTAGTTGTCTTTTTGTTAATTCAGTTGTATTGATTTGTTCCTTCTGTTAATTCAGTTGCACAGTTGTATTTCTGGTGTGTGAGATGTACGTATTATATAAAAACAGCAACATACACAAGAGAGAAGCTAAGCTCTCAGATGATATTCTGAATACAGTTCAAGTTCTTCAACTGTAAACTCTCTGTTTCGTCCTGCTTCATTTCTCAAGTTCTTCACATTTTGCACATGTTATTTTAGAAAAATCTTACGCGTAAGCTACGTTTGTTTTGCAGAAAATAAATGATTTTGAATACATTTTCCTAAAAGTGATCGCTTATATTGCTCACGAAAATTAATGAGCGAAAAATATTTTCATCCTCCTCGATAATATTTAGGCATAAATTGTTGTCGATAATGAAAATATTTATCATTAACTGATTATTTAAGCGGTATAACGATCATTTTTAAGAAAATATTTTCTAAATCATTCATTTTTCGTGAAACAAAAAAAGCGGTAATCAAAGAGATCAGCCCTAATTAAATATATTTGAAATTAGCGGGATTATTAGAGAAGTCATGAAAAAAGATTTGATATATATATATATATATGGTTCTAAGCAGGATCTTAAAAGGCGCAACAGAAACTGAAGAAGGAACTTCCCGGTATGGTAGAAAGATCTCTCCATAAGTTCTTTTCGTATTCCCTCTCTTTTGAAAAGACAAAAATTGAGAGGGAACTTAGGAGCTTTTGGGTGAAGATAATAGACTCCACGTCAGCTTCTGCTAGCTATCGCCAGATAGGAAGGTGACAAGACGAAGCTTCGGCGTTTGCTAGATTGGCCTATGCTTACGCACAGTATTTGGTAACCAACTTGTTAACCCAGTACCCTTGATTACCAGAAGTGTCAATGATGAAAATATTTTCATCTTTCACGAAAATATTTAGATATAAATTGTTATCGATAATGAAAATATTTTTCATTAACTAATTATTTTGAGTAATATAAGCGATCATTTTTAGGAAAATATATTTCAAATTATTTATTTTTTGCGAAATGAACTGTTAGCACTAATTAACTAGATTTGGAATTAGAGGGATTATTAGAGAAGTCATGATAACAGAGACTTGATTGGTTGATAAAAGAGGAGCAACACCCAACACTTTCGTCCGAAGGGCGCCTATCTTGAACGCAGCCAAAAGGAACAGAACAGCGATAAGCCTCGGCTCAAACTTGACCTCTGCTGCTCCTCCGAGAGCAAAGAGGCTTACACCAATGGCGACGAGGGTGAACTGCAGCGCGTGGTTCGTAAACCCTTGGCACGCCATAACCTCCAGGCCTTCTCTTTCGAGGCCTCGTCTCCAATTCCGCCACACCCTTTTCTCTTCTTCTTCTTCTTCTTCTGCTTCGTCGGCGACTCGTGGAGCCGTGTGCTGTACTGGGTTGAGCAACGGCGCTTCGGAGACCGACCCTTTTGTCCTCACGACGCCGCTTTACTACGTCAATGCCCCTCCCCACATGGGTAGCGCCTACACTACCATTGCTGCTGATGCTATTGCTCGCTTTCAGGTCTGTCTTCAGACATTGTTCAGTCTTCTCTTGACGAAATTCTTTTGCTGATTTTCTTTTTCGTCGTTTTTTTGTTGTTTGTGAGTTGTGGGCGTCGGTCAAGGCAAAACCCATGTTTCTTGATCCTCCTTTTGATGTCATTAAGAGTAGAAATCATTGTCACTAGTCGATTGTTTCTTTTATCAGAGTAGATACGTACCAGTTGATTGCGGTTCAACTTTTGCCTTGATGAAAATGAGTTAAGTCTGCCTTTAGCTGGTGGGGATGAGATTTTGTTCCGTAGACAAAGCTATAACTTCATAATTCGTTCTTTAACATTTGTTGTATGCGGTAATCTAATGCAATTTAATCATCAAGATGGGATTTTTCTTTTGTTTAAGCTGGGTTTGGATTGGGAAATTGGTTCCAGGAATCGTTTCAACTATTGTCTTGGATTGGGAAATTGGCTTACACTTATATTTCTTTTGGTTTCTCTAGTTAATAATTGCCATGTCTTGACAATGGAGTGACTTGTTCTGTGTTCTTGTCAGAGTTGTGAATTTGTTGATGACACTGCTTCGCTTTTCCTTTTAATGGCAGAGGCTATTGGGTAAAAAGGTTATATTTATCACAGGCACAGATGAACATGGTGAGAAGATTGCCACAGCTGCTAGTGCCTGTGGTTCAAGTCCTAGTGAACACTGTGACGTGATTTCACAAGCTTACAAAGCTCTTTGGAAAGACGTAATTGCCTATTATCAAACCCTTATTTCTCTTTTTTATGAAAGAGTGCAGGCTCTAATGCTGGGTTGCACTGTTTGTGGTTCCTCTCTATTTGCAGTTGGACATAGGTTATGATAAATTCATACGGACAACTGATGCTAAACATGAAGCAATTGTTAAGCAATTCTATTCTAGGGTCCTTGAGAATGGCGACATTTACCGAGCTGATTACGAGGGTCTATATTGCGTCAACTGTGAAGAGTACAAGGTAAGACCTTCAACCGTACATTTTCGATGTTATTCTGTTTTTGGTCACTGATCTATAGACTGTGACCGTCATTGGTACTGTTCCAGGGCAATTAGTGCATTACCGTTGTTAATTGATTCCAGAAAAAGAGTAAAAAGAATTTTTCTAGTCTATTAGAAGGCATAGGATAATGTCGTTAGCTCTGCATGTTTTCTAGGATGAGAAAGAGCTGCTAGATGACAACCGTTGTCCTATGCATCTGAAGCCCTGTGTTCGCAGAAAGGAGGATAACTACTTTTTTGCCTTATCAAAGTATCAGAAATCCTTGGAAGAAACTTTGGAACAGAATACAGAGTTTGTACAGCCATCATTTCGTTTAAATGAGGTGAGACAATGTCTAGCCTTTCTCTTTAAAAAAGGCAATGTACAAGAATTGTCTTCTTTCAGCCGGATTAATCTGTTTATATGCCCTTGATGTCAGTAAGGTATTGCCTTTAGAACAGTGAGCGATTCTAACGGTTGGATAACTGTGGTAGCATCTTTAGACCAATGTCTGCCTGCTGAAATTTATGATTTTACAAATTTTTGGACAAGCTTGATATGTTACTTGAGTTTTTGGGTTGACTGGAAAAGAATTACTTTCTGCAGAAAGAAAGGAAATGAATAATATCTGGTCTCCTCCACGGATATTGCTATTTCTTTTCTCCAATAATAGATCTTTGCTGTTCGAGTAGTGTGTTGGATAATTAGGAGGATATCTTCACTGACATGAAAAGGCTTTAAGACAATGATCATCTTACTAGACAGTGTTGTAATCTGTATTGGACCATGTTTTGAAACTTTTCAAACATGAGGGGTCAATGCTGCTGCTTTGGAATTCTCAAGTCACTATTTAAGAGAAGAGATAAGGAGCAAACTTGGAGTCTTACCAGGAAATTAATATAATAATTTTTTGATACTTCTCAATTAGCTACAACTTTTCCCTTTTATGTCAATCCACTGAACTTCATTTGTTCCAAATTCTTTGCAGGTGCAAAGTTGGATTAGAAGTGGTTTAAAAGATTTTTCCATTTCTCGAGCATCAGTTGATTGGGGTATTCCAGTCCCTAATGACAACAAGCAAACAATCTATGTCTGGTTTGATGCTTTACTGGGGTAGATCATCTTTCATCTGGCTGAATGAGTTTTTTCCTAAGAAATGTGTTTTTCTCCATAGTAAGCATAACTGCTTATGTTTGTCTCATTGTCCTTAGCAAAAGTTAAAAGAGAACAGTTATTGGCATGCTGACATACTTTCCCAATTTACTTGAGCGCAACGCCATACAACTGCCGGAAAATGTTTTGGTCTTGCTCAAATAACTTTCTATCAAATTGGTTCACTGTACTTTCTGTATATATCGTAAAAAACCTAGAAATTGTTACTGTAAGTAGAACGCAGTACGCTAAAAAAATTTATGTGAAAATTACGAGTACTGTCTAATGTCAATTGTCATGCATGGAATGCATCTTAAGCATCCATTGACTCTTTTCACTTTGCTAGGTGAGCAATTGGGAATTATTGACACTACATTAATCACCACCTTTTCTACCTTCGAACAGTTATATATCTGCATTATCAGAGGAAAATGAGCGACCGGATTTGCAGAATACTGTTTCTCTGGGCTGGCCTGCTTCACTACATCTTATTGGCAAGGTAGGCCATACCATTGCTCTGAAGTGTGCTCCTTTTAATTTTTTTTCCTTGCACTGAATTTTGTCCCTAGTTTACACATCGAGGGAAGTTCAATCTATCTTTTATTTAAGCTTTCATGAAACTTTTAGATATCTAAGTAGGAACTTCTCTATGCTTTCATATTTTCGTTTCGTGTCCTCCATATTTTTACTGGATTCATCACCACTCTAAAAAAACCTTTCAGCGCATTTTATCTTCCTCTCCATTGGATTGCTTTTAGTTCTAACCATTGGGTGCCAGAGAACCTTATCTCTTTTATGAAAATTAGTAAATCCTAATGATGCATCTCCCCTTAGCAAAAAATAGAAAGTGTCGCTGGTCTTTGTTTGCCAGCAATTTTGTTGACGTAGGGATTGTTTAATAAAAAAATTCTCCTACTGGGATGTCCGCACTTTTGCTCTTGGTGATTATTGGCAATTTTCTCTGTAATACTTCACTTAAGTGCTCATTCATATACATAAAGAATGAAAGACCTGTATCCTTTCTTGTTGGTGTCTCACATGGCCACTGTGCCTAATAGGCTAATATTAGACAGCTAACAGGTGAACTATGATACCCCATTATGGGGTTTCAGTCTGTTAGGCCAATAATTATGCCCTCTCATTTATTCTTGAACAAGTGTTTCTTTAGCTGACCGTAATAGTATTGTAGTGCTGTGCATTTTCCTTAACTTGATGTATGGTTACTGTGTAGTCTTACTCAACTCAGCTAAGCCTTTAGTTGCTGAATGGGGTTATATGAATTCTTTAGCATTGTTCGGCTCAGAAATATTTCACGAAAAGATACTGAAGTCTGGAGTTGAATTACATTTGACTAATTGGGAAAATTTGCTGTTGGTGAGATATCTGCGTTTGGACTTCTTCTATATCCATTACATTCCTTGGTGCTTCTCAGTCATGGTTTAATTAATTTCTTAGTTTTGACTTATCGTGTTCTTATCTTAGATGTATTCATTTTGCTTCTATAAAATGAATGTGTGGCTTCTGCTCCTGTTTTGTTGTACTAATTTTGGCTGAGATGACATATATGGTTTCCTCTTGTTCTTCACAGGATATATTACGTTTTCATGCAGTTTATTGGCCAGCTATGCTGATGTCTGCTGGTTTAAGTCTTCCAAAAAAAGTATTTGGCCATGGATTCTTGACAAAGGTAGTCAAACCCTAAAATTTGCATTGTTTTTTTTTTTTTTATCGATTCCTTATGCTCAAGCAGCCAGATGTGTTGATTCCTTATGCAGTGAATGTAGCGTCGGTGGTTGGGTTACATCTAATTAAGTCGTGCTGGCTTTGATGAACCTGTTTGTGGCTGTCTGCTACTTCGTCTCTTATTCCTAATTTTTATTTCATGCAGTTTATTTTAAATTTTAGGATGGCATGAAGATGGGGAAGTCACTTGGAAATACTCTTGAACCAAATGATTTGGTTCATAGATTTGGGTCTGATGCTGTCAGGTACTTCTTTGTCAGAGAGGTGGAATTTGGCAGTGATGGTGACTATTCTGAGGATCGTTTCATTAATACCGTTAATGCACATCTTGCCAATACTATCGGTAATTCTAATGCCAAGTTTTGTTCTATTTTCTTTTCGGGCTTTACAGTTTAGCATACATTAATAAGTTGCCCATACCTCCTAACTTCTGTTCTGCAGGTAATCTCCTGAACCGCACGCTTGGGCTTCTGAGAAAGAACTGCAAATCCACATTGGTGGTGGATTCAGCCATTGCTGCTGAAGGAAATGCATTCAAGGACACGGTGGAGATGCTGGTAATGCTTGTGTTTATTTGTATCTTATGGCATCATGAAATCGTGCCATGAGACTCCTAGGACAAATGTATTTGTGAACTATCACACTTTCTGCAACATTGTACTGTTCTTTTGTTTTTTAATCAAAGACCGTTGCTTCCTCTAGCCATGGTGAAAGTTATATTTCATACTTCATAAATTCATGCAAGGGTAAAAATTTCTCATGATACTGAGCCATGGATTTCTAGTTTGCACAACCTTTTTTCCCTCTTTTGTGTGACAATAATGTTTTATCTATGTGCCCATTTATTTATTCATTTGCTTGTTTGTTGATGACGGCACCATTTTGTATCTGTTTTGATCTGGGACTGAAGTTAAAGGCCGGATGACAAAATGGTCATTTGGTACATCTTCTAAATGACATGTTTTTTTAACAAATTATGAAGAAAACTGCCCTGTTAAGTTGCTGTATTTCATTTGCATCATGAAAACTTGCATGATGACTTTTTCTCTTCAGTGCTTAGATTAAGAATGTCTTTCAATTCTTCCATCGTGGTCTGCTTACAAGAATTTGCTATTTAACACTGCTTATGTTCTACCATTCCTTGTTCTATTTGTAGGTCAAAAAGGCTCGAGTTCAATATGAAAACCTATCACTTTCCACAGCATGTGAAGCAGTTCTCGAAATTGGAAATTCTGGGAACTCCTATATCGATGCACGTGCTCCGTGGTCTCTATTTAAGCAAGGGGGTGCTGCTTCAGAAGCTGCAGCAAAGGTTAATCCTTTCGGTCTCTCCTTCCCAAAAAGTTTTCACCTATTATAAGACAATTGAACACCCATTATAGCAGAGCATTGACCATGCATCTCCTTAAGAGAATTCGAAATAGTGACTTCTGTCCCTAACAAAGGATCTTGGAAAAGATGAGATTCTTGACAAGTTGCTGGATTGAGGACCTCGCCAATATGATTAATCGCTGGAAAATCTTCCTTGTTTAGGTTAAAACGATTCACGATTTACTCTATCCATTTTTGCAATGTCATTTTTAATTTAAAAAAAACACACACACACACTGTACATGCCTTGTGTTCTAGTTAAGGTATCGATGCAACTTTTTATGAATGTGAGCTTTGACGGTCTTATCCCTGATCAGGATCTGGTGATCGTGTTGGAAGCAATGAGGATCATCGCTGTTGCATTATCTCCTGTTACTCCAAGGTTATGTCTTAGAATATATGAGCAACTGGGCTACTCAGCAGATCAATTCAATGCCACAAATTGGGTCTCTCTCTCACCCCTCTGACAAAGCTATCCTTTTGCCTCATACATGGGATTTGGTACTCGATTATCTCCGCTTACCGAATCTTTCTTTTGTGGTTTTTCGTGTATAGAGTGCTACGAGATGGGGCGGATTGAAGGGTGGTCAGGTCATGGCGCAACCCAAACCGGTTTTTGCAAGGATAGAGGACAAAGTCGAAGAGGAAACGAATGCTAAAGTCGGGGCAGGAAGTGGAGCAACATAGAGTACCCCAGTTCAGGAGTGAACTACCTTAGAGAACACCAAGCAGATGGTCATAATCTTGCTCTCGACAGCATTTTGGTTTAGATATTTTTCACTCACTGTGAGATAAGTGCGATCGAATTTACAGTACTACTACCTCATTAAGGCATCTTATCAAAAGACAGTAGTTTCTTGCAATGTGAGCAATGAGGCTTGTGCACGAAAATCTAGAGTACTACATAAGAACTTGGCCATGTCACACCAAGAAGAGTGGAATAAGTTGCGCAACTTTTCATGCTATGTGAGGATCGGTCTTGTAATGTGATAATCTCTTTTTTAAGAGTCTTCGATTTGATTTCCATTCAACCCTGATAAGTGAATAGAGTGAGCAAACTCCAGATCAAAGGTTTTTTCAACTAGTTACTATGGGGATTGAGGCATGGATGGTGACTAACGTTATTTCTGCTTTTTCAGAAGCTTATAGGCCGAAAAAGGAGGAAAAACAGCAGATTAGAGTGTGATCTTGAGATCCAAGACAACAATATAACATTTCTGTGATTGAACAATAAAATTGTACAAATGAATTATAAATCCCCAGAAGAATCTCCGAATAGTCAAAGCACGAACCGGAAACTCTTCAGCGAAAGAAATTGACATTGCTGATGCAAATTGGTAAAGCTTGCACGATTATGACTATCCCTAGTATTTCTAGAAGATGAGGGCAAACTGGTGCAGGCAAATAATCACAAAACAGGACACAAGGAATAAAGCAGCTCTCTTCATTTTGCCGAACTGATGCGAGTGCCTCACAGGACCTTTCAGTTCCCACCAAAAACAAAGAGTAAGATAGAGGACACCTTCCCCACATAGTCCCTACACATAGATTAACCACCCAGAAATGATACTTGTTCTATAAAATTCATGACCAAATTAAGGGTGTTGAAGCCACCCCGATACTTTGCATTTGGCGTTGTCTTTCTCATTTTGCCTATAAACTTCCATCCGTTCAACCGAAAAGGTTTCAATTCTTTCTGGGTTTACCGAGCCTCAGTCGGAAATCATCCTCCATCAGCGGAAGGCCATCTCGCAGCTTGACCTTGGGTTCCCATCCAAGCAACTCCTTGGCTTTCGTGATGTCTGGTTTCCTCTGGCGCGGATCGTCCGGGGTGTTCTCCACCGTGGTGATCACCACATCAGGATTAATGAGCTACAGTGTCACATTTTAAGCAGTCATGCCATTTTGTTGTTTGTATATATGTCTGGTTGTTTCTGATGTACTTCTACAGTTTTTATCCATGTGCGATGATTAAATAGGGGGGCCAATGCCATCCCTTCAAACAAGAATGTACTTTCCTCCAATGCCACCCTTAAAATTTCAGCAAGTAAGCTGTGCTTATGTAATTTTTCACACTAAATAGCAACGTGATTCAGGGTTATATTAAGATAAATGTCCTTAGATTTTATCGCTGCATGAGACGAGTAGTGAAAGTACCAAAACCAAATACAATTGGCAGAGTGAATCTGGAACTGTATGCATCATCACAACCTAATGCTTGCAGTCATGACTAACGAATGATGCATCAAGAGATAGAGAAAATACCTCCTTAACAGTCTCAGCAAGCTCGATCATTGTAAATTCACCTAAAGGTTTAAATAAAAGCCTCATTAGGACCAAGGAAAAATAAGCATTTCCAAACTTATGCATCAGGGATCTCTAATATAACCTGGATTCCCAATGTTAATTGGCCCAGTGTTCTCTCCTTCCATGAGCCGTATGAGGCCATCAACCTTCAGTGTTATGATGAAGAGGTATAGTCACTCCACAGACTCACAATTAAACATAATCATCTGCATCCCAAATAACCACAAAAAAAGAGGAAAAATGCTTTTACCATGTCAGATACATAACAGAAGCTTCGAGTTTGTGTTCCAGGAGATTGAACAGTCAGCGGCTCGCCACTGTATAATTGATCAACAAAATAATAGATGGTTACGAGAATAATTCATGAACTAGAGGCCAGCACTAAAAAGAGCAGCTTTGAGATGGTCTGAACAAAAGTCTGCCATTGCATTAGAAACTCACCGCACAGCTTGGGCGATGAAATTACTCACAACACGACCATCATCGATGTTCATTCGAGGGCCATAGGTATTGAAAATTCTAGCAACCCTTATCTCTGTTACAGATTAGGTAGGTGTGGAGTACATATAGTTCAGTACAAGAAACCTAAAACAACGTAAAACAGAAACCAAGTATTAAGAGGATAGAGCAGAAGGCACTTTACCTATACCATGTTGCCTGTGATAATCGAACATCAAGGTTTCTGCCACTCGCTTCCCCTCGTCGTAACAACTTCGAACCCCTGAAGGAAATCATATGAGTAAGTCACTAGCAATTTAATAGAAGTCTCTGCAAATACTGACTCCTGGTCTTAAAAGGTGGGTCGGACAGGGAATAAACGGCCTGGCAAGACTTCCCTTTCCACCTACATACGTTCTGTGTGGCGTGCCATTACTTTTAAAAGATTATGAAAACTTCTCAAAACAATCGATTCAGCATATTTATGTTGGTAGATTTTCAACTTCTCAAGAGAATGTCATAAAGTTATAATGGCCAAATATAGATGTGCAATCAGCACACACCAATCTTTCACAGACTGTACCTGCTAAGAGAGGTATTAGTCTGTCTATGCAACCACTACATCCATCTATATATGAAAGTTAGTTAGTAAATTAGTGGAGTAGACTTACCAATTGGGTTGACATTTCCCCAATAGCTTTCATCTTGAGGATGCACTAGAGGATCACCATACACCTCTGAGGTAGATGTCAGCAAAATCCTGCAGCCATAGTTCATCAATGAGAAAAGCAGTCAATTAATGGAAGATACCTATATAAAAAAGGTATTGAAGGTATGAACCTTGCTCCAACTCGCTTGGCGAGCCCCAACATGTTGAGAGTTCCAATCACATTGGTCTTTATGGTCTGTATATCAGATGATTAAAACATCAGATCGGTGATACTATGGTGCATTGAGAGAGAGAGAGAGAGAGAGAGAGAGAGAGAGAGAGAGCACCCAACAAAATATTAACATGAAGATGAATTAAAACTAAAAACTCAAATTCCAGGAGGCTACCGATGGACAAGACAAATTTACATACCTTTACGGGATTATATTTGTAAAAAATTGGAGAAGCAGGGCAGGCAAGATGGTAAATTTGATCAACCTCAACTAGCAATGGCTCTGTCACATCTGCATTAAAACAAAGCCTGATAAAATGAATCTTCAAATAACCTCAATTGACAAATAAGGATCACCATAATTCACTTTCTTAAGTAGAATACAAAGATGGCTAAACCTGTGTCTCAAAATTGCTCGCTAAGGAACTTATTGCCGGGATGAAAGGTAAAGAAATTGGCAAAAGTCAGTGCTTAAATGACTTTCAAGCGATAAACTTTCAAGCATATGAAGTATTTTCTTTTAGCTTTTCTCAGGCCATGTCATTCTCAGTCCTTCAATTTATTAGGACATCATGAACAAGGTGAGTATAAAACAAGGAGATAGTGTCACTGTCCGGATTAAAAATGCTTTTTTTTACCACCACGAACACACAGGTTTAACTTGGAAATTACATTATATTATCTTATTGCGCGCTCCTCTAAGTTGCAGTGGCTGCATGTCATATAGGAGAGCACTTTTCTTAGTCTGAAATACAACATAGAGGACTTCCAACCACGCAACTGCGGCCCATAGACATATGACATCCAGAATAAGACATACCATGACGAATAAGCTCAAATCTTGGATGACCGATCCATTTCTTAAGGTTTTCTTTTGAACCAGTGAAGAAGTTGTCAGCCACAATAACCTGAACCATAAAAGCATGTGGATCTGTTAAGAACTCAACAAGATCTGAATAACAATTATCTTGCCTTAAAAACAGATTTTCCCAATTCCAGCCTGCTATTTTGAGGCGTCAATCCCAAATCCAAGTTCATACTCAATAATGTTGGTCCATAAAAATATAAGGTTGCACTATAATTGCTGAAAGTAATCACCTCATTCTTTTCATTTTCCATCAACTTGTCCACTAGGTGAGAGCCGATAAATCCAGCTCCTCCTGTAACCAGAATCCTCATATTGGGCTGCACACCAGACACCCCACAGATTCAGTAAAAGATTAAATATACCATAATGACCAAAAACATTTGGTTTATAAATAGCTAGTCCAGCCCAAAAACACATACACCTGAATACGAGTTACTAAAAGAAATCCACAAATAGACGAAAACTTCAGAACAAAAGCAGCCCAATAGAAACAAGAGACATGGCAGACAAAAAGCCAATGTAAAATGACCAACTTTCAGCAACAATACCATCCTGGACACACCAAGTAGACTGCACCGAACAATGATTTTCAAGGTAAACCAAAGTTATTAAATGATGAAGATCAATTCCAGAATGCCACATTTCTAAAAAGCCCCCATGTGGATCATTCACTTTGTTCTTCAGGGGGAACAGCCATTTCTCTAAAGGCCAAAAACAAACTCAACCACTGAGAATTATTTCAGAAAATAACTAATTTATGACACCAATTCTAATATCATGAAGATGGATATGTACAAAATCTCGGAAAACTAGAAGCCAATTCAACATAGAAGCCAATTGACTTCAAATTGCAACTTTCAGATGCAAGGAAAGAAAGCAGTTCATCCAACAAAATAACAGCCAATCTTGGCAAGGAGGGCAGACGGGAACCTTCCATTTTAAAAATATGCAAGTAATTCTACTTGTGATTGATCTTCCTTATTAAAACCCATAAAACCATAAAGTTCCAATTAAAAGATGAACTTGACTAGTTTAGGTTCCCTAAATGCAGTGCCTTTCGAGTAACACCTTACTGATCCATTGGAAGAAGCGCATTCCCTAATTCAGTTAGGGAAACAGAGTGTACGCTATATGCAAACTTCCCAAAATTCATGCTGTCATATCCCAATACAAAACACCATCTCAAAATGTTTGTCCCACCGCATAAAAATAAAGAAATAGATTTCACCAGCACATTCCACGGCCACAAAAACCTCACGGTCAAGAGTAACGACGAACCCAACGCGAGGAAATAACATACTAGCTCATCACTACAATTACCTGGAAAAACTTGGAGAAACGTAACGGGGACGGAGTCGGAGGCGGTTTCGCAGCCAAGTTGTTCTCGCCGTTCAAAGCTTGCTTAGCCATATCCTTCAGATTCGCCTTCTTCTTCTTCTTCTTCTTCGGCTACTTCAAACTCCTGCAGCGACAACAATTCGATCTCAGGGCTAAGCAACCGCAAGCTCCTCTTCTCACGCAGAAAATGAAGACACCCAACCAAACCAAATGCAGACAATCACGAGAAAAAATTACTCATCGAGAACAACCTACGAGGGCCTCTCCGAAAGGGGGTTTTGCAGATCTTAAGGTTCTTGCTATCAACCCAACAGCCGAACGACTACTTTATAAGCCCAGATCGAAGCGCAGGAATTAGTTCGCACATCGCCGATTCACCACCAAACAAACGACACCAAACCTTCAGTTAGCGAGTTGACAACGAACACGAGGTTTTCCAAACGTAGGATAAAGCAAAAAAAAAAAAAAAAAAACAGAGACAGCGAACACCGAAAGCGCCACCGCAACAACAACGTCAAAATCCACCAAACTCAATAACAATTCCGAGATCTGAATCTCGCAAAGCCACGACGAGATTCGGCGAGTTGCAGAGCGGATCGCAAAGTTCGAAACTTTCACCTTCGAGAGAGGCGATGGCGGAACCGGGGTCGCTGCCGCTCGACGAGACAGGGGATTCGCGAGATTCGGGAAGACGACGACGACGACACGACGAGAGTGTGACCTCCGACTCCGAGCTCATTTATACTCTGTGATTGACCGGGCCCTCTTTCTTTTTTTTTTTTGCGTGACGGCATGGAGCGAATCGCAGCCGTTTATTGCGGGGGACGTGTCCGCGAGGGCCGCGAGCCCGAGGTGATCCGACGGTGGGAAACGCCGTTTGGATTGATGTTCACCCGACACGTCGTGGACCACTCCGTTTGGGAGTGCTTCCCATGCACACGGCGCGTTACATCCTCGGAAGTGTCGTCATTAGACCTCGGGATCGGATTCGGATCGGGAAAAGAATGATCCGACCCAAAACATTCATATTGCTAAATATTTTCATATTCAATTTAATTTACGAAAATTCATATCAAGTGAGGGCAAAAGAATCGTAGAGGTGGATCAGGCTTAAATAACTTGAGAATCCATTTAATATCAATTTTATCATTATGAATCCATTAATGATCCATATACTGAATATGACTAATCTATATTACAACTCAGCACATCAAATATGTGTTAAGAAATGGATTTATGACCCATATTAACAGATTTTATCATCACGAGGAAAAGAATCCAAAGGAAGAAAAAAAAAGACTGAGGAAACTAATTAATAGATAAATATCTATACTTTTGGGCCAAAAATAAATTCATTTTCGATCGATCTGCTACTTCCCATAAAATGATAAAGAAAAATCAAACTATTAAATTTCTATACACAACCCAAATACCCGATCCTCACTCATTTCCTCCGAGGAAAGGACAATTATCTTTTTTATCTCCACTAAAAAAAAAGGGTAACATTACAAAAATTACGTACCTTTTTTTTGGTCGCTTTCCATAAAAAAACTACACTAGCTGAAATTCCTTAATTGTCCTTACAGTGCAATGGCCAACTTCGCGCATGAACAATGTCGAATGGTTAAGAAAGGGAATTCTCTAAAAAGATTTCGGTTCAAACTCGCTCGCATTTTGGTGCGTTTCTAATTTGGATGGATTCTAGACTTCTAACATCTCAATGAGCTTGCAATGATACAAAATAACAAGTATTTACAATCTTAAATTCGAATATTTTATAGCAGGTGTGGGACCTTTATGAAAACGCTTAGAAAGAATAGCTGGCCGACCACCCCTTCGCGACACTTTTCCGAGTAAAGAGATCACATGTTGTGGATTTTTCCTATTTGCAGGCTAAAATTTTGTATCCATGCCTAAAATCTCACCACACCTACGATTCTAGATCTTTGCATGAAATCAATAATCGGATAATCTCACATGTTTAGGTATACAAAGAACACATAAAATCTCATGTGGGTGTATGCAAAGAGTAAGTGAAAGCTTCTCCAGTGATTGATGGAGACGAGCGTCATTGTTTTTCTCCAAACCAAACCACAACTCCCTTTGCTTTTGGACTCACTTTAGATCGCAAAAGCCGCATTGCTTACTTTGTGTTTTTGCACTGGTGAAATATGCAAAGCATGAGATGACAGAACTTATTACCTAGGAATTGTTAGGGGGTGATTTATACTTTCCATCGATAGGAAAGCATGGGCGTCCCACTCCCCAATGAGTGGACGAGGATCCCGAGACCGCCCGGTGGGGGTCGCAGGGGCAGCGCCTATGGGCCACCAGAGACTTTTATAGTTTGGACTTGTATCTTATTGTTAGTTTAGGTTTGAGTCCATGAATAATTACTGAGTGGCTTAGGACTTTTTTAGCCCTAGAGCTTTCTTGTGCTTCCTATATATAATTTCTGTCCTTTATAATTGAGAGTCGTATAGAGAGGCGAGATGTGCTAATTATAGTTAAATTTTCTACTGGATACAGCCCTATTTTATCGGTGAATCAGGATAACCTTATGTCTCTATTTTTCTTTCTCGTCTTTATTTTTTATTTTGTTGTGCTTACGCACATATCCTAACTTGAACCAGCTCGTGGGTGCTTTATGGAAAATCCATGCATCGTTGCGGGAGTTACAAGCCGGTTTCAGTCTCAAGACTTCCCATTCCAGAAAGAAGGAAAAGAAGGAACAGCTCCTCTCCCTCTAAGGCCGTAGGAGGCACACGTAAGGAAAGGTCAATAGATGCAGAAAACCACGTGAAGAGAAATGATCATGCAAAATCGTGCAGGTTCGAGCAACAGACAGGTGGAAGTAATCTATTTAAGCATTACCGTATGCGATGATTACTCGACACGTAAAGAAACTGCATCCTAAGAACAAATACATTAACAGTTGTACATAGAATTATGAATTGGCTGCAACTCGAAATTTTGCCCTTCCAAGAAAGAAGTCTGAAGTTTGCGAGAGACAAAACTCGAGGTCACCAAAACATTTCGAGAGACCGTCTCATGCAACAAGCAACTTTCTTGGTGATAAAGATGCATTTCCAAATCTACCTTATTCAACTATCAAAAATAGGAACTTAAATCTAGGAAAAAACCTTATAAGTATGTGCACAAAAGCTTCAATCAAAGCCCATAGCAACCTAGTCCTTGCATTTAGCAAGAACCATTGCACCGCTCTTGCGTGATGGTGCAGTAGGGGAGAAGGTATTTTATAGTGACGAATCCACCAAATTGAATTGACATAGATGGCGTAAACAATCAATCAGAAACGAAATGTATTACACAATTCGTGCCAAGTAGGATGATATGTATAGCACACGAACAGAAACGAAATGTATTACACAATTGGTGCCAAGTAGGATGAGATGTATAACACGCGAAAAGTGGTGACGGTCGGTCAAGTCTCATGATCATTATCCATGTGGTGTTCCCGTCACATAAATACTTTCTTGTAGCAACAAGGACTACCTTGACAAACTAGAGGTGCACGCATAAGTTTCCTTCGATTAGGGGGAGAAAATGTTCAAAAGTTATTTAATGGCCTGTAATTAGGTTTCATATACAATTCATCCTGACTTCATAGAGGTTTATTTGGACAAAGGCAGAGCAGCAGGATTCTACTGCTACTATAACAATAAGAAAATAGAACCATCATGTTCCTCCAATCGTTGTTATGACCAGTTGTCTCATTGGATATTCTTTAGAACAGAAAAAAAAACTCTCCTTTGTAGATTCAGATCAAAATATTTACCTAACTTTAAGTAGTAGTAGTCTCAGCAGATTGAATAAGCAAAAGAGGACATCCAAAAGCTACCATAGCTTAAACATTTTGCTGGATATTCGTCATTGGGACTAGAAAGCATTGACATAATAGTTAAAACAATATGCTCTCCACCTGCACAATGGAGGGACAGCAGGCATTGTTACACGACATTAGGTAAACATGAAAGTCCGTCAGTAATAGTTAATTGCCCCGTGATTCTATGCCAGAAAGAAAACGAGGACACGACCCTGATAAATTAGCAGTCAAAAGCCTAACTTTGGTGCGTTAAAATACGCCCGATCAACGGGCGGGGGGCGGCTCATTCATGGCCCCGCCGGGCTGAACTTTTTAGGCAGGTCAGCGGGCGGGACGGGGCCTCGGCAAGGGCCCTGAGGCCGGGCTCGGCCACGAGAGTATATTTTTTTATACTCCATTTGTATTTTTTATTTTTTTTGGGTCTCAATAGGTCCCCTATTCTCTTTTATCCCTAGGATTTCTCAATCTTCACTCCATGAAGAGGAAGAGGAATTCCGCATGCCAGTGGAAGAGAATGGGAACAATTAGACAAGGCATGACCTTTTTGTATTGAATGGAGGCATCGGACAATTAGCTGGGGAACACTTAGCACGAACACGGCTGAAGCTGGTTCACTAGTTCTGTGGGAATGTAACACAAGCATCGTGAACTTCAACATGATGAAAGGTAAGGCAAATTTCCTAGGAAAGCTTCGTGGGTATCTGTTAATTTCGACAGAACTTAATTGATTAATGCCGGACGAAAATAGATTCGTGAAAGCTTTTCAAGCAATAGAACTTTGAAAATGAAAAATATTCCAATCAATGTGTTCAACTACTTGACAAAACCAGACTAACCGAATTAACACATCTCATAAATTCAAATAATTATTTGCATCTCTTTTCCATGAAGGAGATGGCGCCAAAGCAACTTGACCTCTTGGCCGTCAATGGACTCCCATTTAATTTGGATCGGACCGACCCGATGAGTCGGTCAACATGCCCATCCACGCCGGCGGGAGCATCCCCGTTTGCTCCTCCACCGTCTTGAATAGTGGCGGCAACATCCGGTAAACCCCGGCGACATCCTTCATCACATTGCCCGTTCCGCTCCCGCTTCCGTCGCCCCCTTCTCCTCCGCTGGTCCAAATGCTGATCTTTGGCTGCAGCCCCTGGATGGCCCCCGCGTTCACTTTCGCCATCTCTTGGAACACACCGTTGTTGATCATCATGTAATCCCTGAGGGCGGCGTAGTTGCCCCCCAGTGCCTCGAGCAGCGTTCGCAGATAAGTGCCCTGGGCTTGGGCCAATGCCACAAGCGCCTCTGCCTCTCTCTTCTTGGTGTAGAACTCTGCGTCGGCTTGCTGCTGCCTTGTGTAGAAGCTGGCCTCGGCAATCGCCTTCTGGGCCTCCGCCTCCTTTTCCTTCTGGTACAGGACTGCTTCCGCGGCTTTCTGCTTCCTGTAGAGCTCCCAGTTTGCTTCTTGTACCTTAGATTTAGGTTCAAAAAGGTAAGAGTCCTTTGAGAGAGTTCAATCATAACCGAAGTCTCCATTCACTCAAGCAACTATCTTCTTGACAGACTATGGCTGACTCTTCTTTTGACACCAAATGTAACGTTAACATTCCAGCATATAACCCTTATTTCGAGACTCTAAAAGGTCATTAGCCTTTCAAATCGCCATGTCGGGCTACGTGCCCTCAATGTTAGCTTTTACGAACATATCGTACCATTGCTCAATATCGCCTATGTGGAACATGTTGAAATATAAGGATGAGAGCCACACACTTTTTCTCCTAACCTTGTCTTGATACCACTGTTGAAATATAAGGATGAGAGACACACACGAAGGAAGAAGAGCTATCTACTTAAGTATTTATTAAACTGACACCATAACCTTTATATAGGCTTTACACCAACAGGTAACTACCCACAACCCACTAGCTTAACATGTGCAGCAACAACCCCATAAAATAGGAGTACTGCTCAACAGACTACTAACACGTGAAAAAACAAAACAAAAAGGAAATTGACTCATTCAACAGAACAAGACGAATATAAACACAAATATATCTGTCCTTGATCATGACGAACATGTCATCTGATGTAAACCAAATAAAGCATGACAGTTTCTTTTGTTCTCTCTGGTTGTACTTATGGTTCTTTCTTGACAATGACTTGGGGATGCATTTGCATTGAAAGCGAAATCCTATTGGAGTGAATCCTAACATTACCAATAGAGTATGCGGATTATACGACAGTTTAGGAACGTTGTTCCCTTGACTTGCAGGGCCGAGAGAGATGCGGGGTTTACCTTGGTTTCGTACTCTACACTGGCCTTGCTCAGAAACTCAGCCTTGAGCTTCTCCGTCCGCGTCAGGGCATTCATCCTCTCGACTTCCATCTGCAGCTCGGCCTCTCTCAGATCCACAGATTTAGCGGCCTCCACCTGCGCCACCTCGGCCTCCTTAGTCCAACCTGCCTTCTTCTTTGCCAACTCCGCGTTAGCCTCTGCGACCTCGGCCTCTCTTTCGTTCTCGTAGACCTTCACTTGTGTATTCACCCTGATCTCCTCCTTCTTCCCCTCCCCTTGTCTCTGTGTCGCGATAATTTTCGTCTCCGCGTCAATCTTTGCCGCGTTTTGCAAAGTTTGCCCTTCCCTAAGCTTGGCCCCAATCTCACCCTTCATCCTAGCCTCCGACACGTCAACCTTCGCTTGGTTTGCTGCCTCCATCTGCGTCTTTTGGCCCAAGTAAGAGAAGTACTCGTGCCCCGGGACATCCACCAGTTGCTTAACGTTTGCGTTATAGATCCACAGGCCAAACTGGTTGAGCTCGAGCTGGACTTTCCCGAACACCTCTTGCTTGAACTCCTTGGTGCCCCGGAAGATCTCTTCCATGGTCATTGAGGCCGCGAGAACACGAGTCTCTCCCTCGATGATCCCTTGGACGAGCTCCTTGACGTGGTGGGACAGCTTGTCGTGGGGGGAGATGAGCTTCGCGTACTTGAGGAGGCTATCGTCGTCGTCGACCCGGGGCCCAATGGTGAACACCGCTGGGAGGACGAAAGGGAGCTTCTCGGCGCTCATGGCTTGGACCTCGAAGGTGTAGTTCACCGGCGACACGTCGAAGACGGTGCAGGACTGGCCGGGGAGGACCCATCCCTTCTTCACTATCTTTATGTCGGGGATGCCGACGCCGGTGATGACCAAGTACTCCGAAGCTCTCGCTACCCTGTAGTACATGGTTCTGGCTACTCGAAAACAAACTAACAGGCTTATTCCTAGGCTGTGTGAAGAAGTGGTTTGCAGGTTATGGGGTAGGGTTTATGTAGAAAGAACTGATGAGCCTTGGTATCGTCTTCCTCATCCTAGCAAAGTTGCACTGGAATTTCCTTGTTATCGTCGGCAATTTTAAAAGAATGCGACCGTTTCTTTTTAGGTAATTTTCAAATTTCGACGATGGATTTGCCATAATAACCGCACAATCAGCCAGAATTTCTATCGGTGCTATTTTGACCACAAATTTCAGTCATATAATAGTCGAGCAAATAAAAAAAAATTCATTGGAAATTTAAGTGCAACTTTTAAACGCCCAATGGATATTGCTCAATCAAACGATGATATCTCTTTTCCTATTTTATTTAAAGAAACAAATCGATTCGAATAACAAGTGATTTACGAAGGATTTGACTGCAATTTTTAAAATAGTGAATATTGTTCTCGATCCAAAAATCGGATTTGGTGGACATTCCTTGGAATGAGAAAAAAATAATTTAAGAACTCGAAAACTTAAGTGAAACTTTTGGCCTTGACTCATGCGTACCATACAATTGATCTTGTACTTCTTTTAGGCCCTTGCAAATCTTCATCCATGAGATTCGAATCAACGGGCTGATCTTTTCGTCCCCTAATTCACCATTCACATTTTTATCTTTTCTTTTTTTCATTTGCTATTATGCATCATCAATATCACCGGTCTCGATATTAAGGCATCTCCCAAATTCAAAAATTTGAATGCCTCAAAATGCCGACACCTTCGATTTTAATTCAAAAATCGAATGAAATGATAATAAAGATTTTTATGGGAACATTTCAAATTCATATTGAAACTAAACGAGCCCTCTTGTCACTTAGAACGAAAGTGAAAAAAAAAGTTTGCATAGATTTGACTCCTTCAATCTCGACGATTAAATAGTAATAATTTATTACTATTATTTCGAGTCCGAGCAGCGGAATGGCATCTCCTAAAACAAATATAATTAGTCCTATAATGGATTTTATTCCTGATTTCAATTCCATAGAATTGGTAAAACTACACTGTGAGTTTGCAAGTGAGGCTGTGTATTATTTGTACCAATTCAAAAAAAAAAACTCTTGGATAATGGAACTCCAATTCATGTATGTTTCTCTTCTCCTAATTTCAAGGTAACCGCTAAACTTGTTTAATCAATTTTTTGGGGGGTAAATTAGAATAAAAAATCCTCGCTTAGGCGAGATTAGGAGAAATTTCACTTTCATTCAAAGTGACGAGAGAACTCGTTTAGTTTCGGACAAGGTTCAGTTTGGGCCATTCCTTTGGACGAGTCAATTCAATGTAAGAAGTTTTTTGGCTTTCGTTCAGAGTAACGAGAGAACTCGTTTAGTTTTTATATGGATCGAAACATTCCCATAATGATCTTTATTATCATTTTATTAATTTTTGAATTAAAATTGAAGGGGTTAGAATTTTATTTAAGAGAGGCATTTAGATTTGACTGTTTGCAGCATGGGAGCCAATTGCTTGAAAAATTCCTGCAATAGTGAAAAATCCGAAGGGATAAGTGTATCGGAAGTGCTAAAATTTGTGATGAAATTATAATTGAGTCCTAAAACTTTTAAGAAGTGCAATCAAGTCTTGAAACTTATCAAATTAGTGCAATCAAATCCCTCCGTTAATTCCGTTTAATTCGACTAACAGAAAATGCTGACCTGGTTTATTATTTTATCAAAACGCGTGGCGGCGATGTGGCACCCGGCAATCAAGCGCCATATCAGAAAAGAACTTGAGCTGACCAAAAAAAAAAAAAGAAAAGAACTTGAAAATTTTAGAAAGGCAAAAAAATTTATAAAATTTATAAAAGAAAAATGGCTAAGAATTAAATGGATAAAAAATAAATTTAGAAAAAGCCACCTTTTCGTATGCCAATGACGGAGGAGCAAGAACAACAACATCCAGTTGAACTAGGGAGTGCACCATCATTCTGAAAAAAAGCAAGAACAGAATCCATGTTTCGGGTAAAATGAATAATTTTAAAAAGAATTCTAAAGAACTTTCGCCAACCAAATGAGAAATTCCACAAATAATGCTTAAAATTGCATAAAAAAATCATGAGCAACCAGATGAAGAACTGCAAATTTCCATCAAATGAAAAGAAAAATTTCAAATAAAACGTGTCAGCACTTATACATAGAGACACGGGAATAAAAATCCAATTTTTTTTTGAGAACGGAACTCGAGAGGGAAGACATCAAACAATGAGAAATCTGCAATATCGTCACTTGGTTCTCCCAAAATAGCGCCCAACAAAAGAAGAAAATAAAAAGAACAGAAATCCTGGAGTTGCATTCGCATATCAAATTTCTCAGATCCTCGAATTGAATTCAAGTGGGAATGCGATACTAGATGTCCATCTCGTATTGTGCCTCAGCTTACGGCTGAGGTGTGTTCTAAATTGTCCTTGCCGCGTGCGACTGAGCCACCAGAAAGCCAGTGGCCGGCGAGATCTAGCCCTTTTTCTTAAAGAAAATGTTTTAGCTTGTTTATTTTTTTAAAAAATTTATCCTTTTCTCTTTTTTCTTTTTTAAAATTTTTTTCTTTTTCATTTTAAATTTTTGAAAAATTTCCAAATAAATACCTGAAAGTGGGGTTATTTTCTCAAAAGAGGTTTCAGATAAGGACTTGAAATGTTCAATCAGTCTCAACTAAAGGCTTGAACTCGCTGGCTGGCGAGCAAGTGATTTTTCGGGCAGCTGAAATAGGGGCACTTTTGTCCAAAAAAAATCTGAATAGCAAATTGCAATTCCTAAAAAAAAAAAAAACCCCCCAAAATTTCTTCCCATCTTCTTATTTGAACCTGCTTGTGCGGTTCTTCTTAACTTTTGCCTATCCACGTGATGGTTTTTTATGTGGTCTTTGAACCGCACTAGACAGGGATTATAGAGGCAGATTGTTTTTGCGAAGAGATCTTAGTCGTTGCCCCCAAATGTTCTCTCTTTCGAATGTGCAAGCATGGGTTCTTGATGTGGACATCGAACCCTATCGAGGAGGAGGTGCTAGGGACCAGTTGTCCTATTCGCCAGGCCCGATCACTCGAGCGAGAGCGAAGGAATTCAAACAAGCTGTCGGCATCATGGTTCAAGATATTTGGAATGGAGACAATCTGGATTCGAAACTTGAAGATTCCAAGTTCCTTGGCGCAATATGATTACTTTCTTGGTCCAAATGAATTCCGAAGGAGCTTAGAATTGACAAACTCTGAATTGGCTCAAATTTGGATGGACGCTTGGAAACGGGCCGCTGATCAATACTCACTACTTAAGTAGTGATTGATGACGTTTTTTAGCGATTTAGAGTCGTTTAGATGAACTTTTAGGCCTTTTTTCCATTTTTGGACGAATTTTTAGTAATTAAGGTTATTTTTGTAATTTTAATCCTAGTAGGATTAGGATTAGGGTTAGCACCTTGCTTATAGATTTCTAAGAGAGACAGAATTTTATATAGAGAAGTTTTCTTCTTGAGTTCTCTTGAGGACTAGATCTTATCAAGGTTCCCTTGTGGCGATCGAATTCAACTTATCGAGCAAGATCGCGAATTCTCTTGTTCGTGACGTAATAGCGTGGATTAGTTGACACAGGTTCGTCAACAGGTCGCGTTAATACTGAGATTACCAATCACAGGTTCGATTGGGGGTCGAGGTCAGCAATTCGTAACTCACAGATCTTCGTAGAACGATCATCTTTCGCACAGATTCACATCATCTCCCGTTTCCAAGCGTCCATCCAAATTTGAGCCAATTCGGAGTTTGTCAATTCTAAGCTCCTTCGAAATTCGCTGGACCAAGAGTAATCATGTTGCGCCAAGGAGCTTCAGAATCTTCAAGTTTCGAATCCAGATTGTCTCCGTTCCAAATATCTTGAACCATGATGCCGACAGCTTGTTTGAATTCCTTCGCTCTCGCTCGAGTGATCGGGCCTAGCGGATAGGACAACGGGTCCCTAGCACCTCCTCCTCGATAGGGTTCGATGTCCATATCAGTTCTGTTTTGGGAGCTCGTGTTCTGATTAGCAAAGTTAATTATCTTTCAAATGTTGAAGGAAAATTGAACTATTCTGAAGATTTGTTTTTGGTCCAAAATTATATTCCTTTCACAAATGATACACGAGAGTAAGCAAGGGTAAGCATCGGCTTGTCCCACAAGAATGGATTGTCCCAAATGAGTCCCTCACCATGAACCCATCGAACGATTGGCTTCATGGGGATCGCAATGTGGCGATTTGGCGGTGAGCGCGACGAAGAGCTCGTGGATGACATGGCCAGTGAGCTTGGTCATCATTGGTGATCAACACCTATAATTATTGGACTCACCGATGAAGTCGGAGGAGGAAGAAGGGTCAAGATTGGATGAGGAGGAGGTGGCAAAGGGCTGGGTGTAGGAGAAGTGAGATGGATTTTGTGAAGAGAAACTCTCAAATCTAGATCTTAATTAGGAGATGAGAGGTGACCAAACATTTCGAGCAACGAATCAACTTTCTTGGTGATAAAGATGCAATTCTAGATATACCTCATTCAAACTCAAAAATAGGAACTTAAATATAAGTATGTGCACAAAAGCATCAGCCAAAACCCACAACAACCTAGTCCATTCATACATCACAGAGACTATCAGCATCTCCCAAAAGATTGGGCAAATAACTAAGAATAGGCGCATTTGGCAAGCAGAGTTACACCACTCTTTTGAGTGATGGTTTAGTAGGGGCAAAGGAACTTTATATTGATGAATACACCACATGGCACTAACACAAGTAGCGTAACCAAAATCAAAAGCGACATGTATTACACACATGCTGCCAAGTAGGAAAAGATTTATAGCACACGGACAATGATGATTGGTCGGTCAAGTCTCGTGATCAACTATCCACGTGGTATTCTTGTCACATGAAATACTTTCTAATGACAACAAGGACTACCTTGACAAACAAGAGGTGTCGGTATACATTTACTCCGGCCAGGGGGAGAAAAAGGTTCAAAAGTTATTTAATGCCCACGATTAGGTCGCATATACAACTCATCCTGACAAAAGAGAGGATTAGAAAA